AGTATTCCATTTGCTGTATGTATAAATGCGGTCCCGTAGAGAGAGACCGCACCCACTGAAGTCTGCACCTCTGACCACCACTTCCTCCCCTTGTGGCCCGCGGGCTCAGGAACTCCAGGCCGGGACAGTTGGGCAGACGGACCTGCAGGCGGTCAGCTCATTCCGGACTTCACCTGCTTTGCATCTGCTGGGCTTGGAATGGTCTTTGCCGCTCTGCCTGACGCTGAATGAACATGAACTCTTGATCCCTGCCCCCGCCAGCCCCTGTCTTCCCTGCAACATGGTAGGTCTACTCCAGTCCCCTCAGCTGGGCGGCTTGCCTATGCAAACTGGAAACCTGGGCGCCTCAGGAGTCTCCCTGTCACGCACATTTTCGTCCCAGCAGCGCGCATGTCTCCTCTGCTCTCCCTCAGGAATGTAGCTTGAGCCTGAGGGGCTCCACCTCTCCTGCCCCTGCCCAGGTCCCGGCCGCCCCATCTCTGTCCCCAGTTGCTGCACCGTCCTCCTGCTCAGTCTCACGGCTCCTCCCAACCCCCACCCCCAATCTATGTTTCACCCCCAAGTCCCCAGAATAACTTTTTGACATCACATCTGCTTTTGACATCACTCTGCCCTGCTTTGATGAAAACAACTTTGGTTTCTTGGCTGACCCTGCCTGATTCGGCCGCTGCCCCCATCTTCCACCCTGTTCCTTGTTCCCTTCCTAGCCTCCCCCACCCTGCCCACCTGCCCAGAGCCTCCTTCCCTGTTGTTCCCTGTGCTTGTGCTGTGGCTGGGTCCTCCTTACCCTCTGTGTCTCTGCTTAACTCCTCCATCCTTTCCCAGCCGAATCCTGGCTCCGGGCCTCTTGCTTTCAGAGCATGTAACCATATTTAATAACACTCTAGTCGTTTATCTGCCCTCTCTGAAAGACTGTAAGCTCTAGGAGGAATGCCCATCCGTTCCTGATTTCTCTCCCTATTGTATCCCCAGCACTTAGCATGGTACTAACGCAAAGGGACTGTCCGTAAATCTTTGGGTGGGTGCGTGGACACATGAATTATTTATGTAGAATTTATGCAGAATTATTTATGTATTATGTAGAGATGGGCATGAATATGAGTGAGTGTACGAAATACTATGAAGAAGATAACAGAACAGTGGGCTTGATTGAATGACAGAAAAAAATATGTGGATAAAGAATAAAGTAAATCAGGCAGGTTTGGCCCGAGTGTTTAGAGCACGGAGGGCTTAGTTTCACAGGGTGGAGGGATTGTGAATTCCCAAGGGAGGAGAACAAAGAGGGAAGATGCCGCAGGAAGAGTCAGTGTAGCAGGGAGACCGGTTGGGCTAACCAGGCAATACAGCGTAAAAAGCAGAATGAGGACTCGAGAGTCTGCAGACCCAAGATTTGGGGATTTTTTGCCACCGACTTCCTCTAAGACCTTGGGCAAGTTACTTAAGCTTTCTGAGCTTTTGGTTCCACCTTCACAGAATGAGCTTTGTGTGGCAATTTGGTGAGCTGACGTGTGCAAGTCCTGGCTTATAATAAATGCTGCGTTAAAACTGGATCTCCGCCTCCCTTCCTCATCCCGGGAGGAAGTAAGATGGAGCTGTGGAATGTCCAGACTGGATGAGTGAGGTAAGCCTGGGTAAGCAAGAGCCTTCAGGGCCAGCCTGAGAAATTTGCATTTGATTAGTCATGTGCAAGGGAACAACTTGAGCAAAGTGATATAATGAACATGTGTTTTAGGAAAGTCAATCTTAACCACATTTTATAGGAAAACTGGTGCAGAAACCACTGGAGGCAGAAGGATTTCATAGGTAGCAGTTGAGAGAACGTTGTCTTGGCCAGAGGGAAATGGGCTGAGGTGGATAAGGAAACAGATGGGATGGCATATGGGAGTGGGGTAAGAAAAGAGTTATGAAGGCTTGGGATTATGGCTGTGAAAATGTGCAATATGCCTGAAAAAAGATCCAGAAGAGGGCATCAGGGCTTCGTAGGTCTAGCCAAGGCTGGAGGGGACATCTGTGTTGCGCTCTCAGACTGTATAACTGGGTGATGTTTCTTGGGTCAGATCAACAGCTCAGACATGGGAAGGGAGAAGCTGGTAGTTGGTAGCCCTCAACCAGAGGGCTCCAGTAGAGAGAAAAGGTCAAGGAGTAGAGAAGGTTGAAAAGATAGTTGAGGTAAAGTCAAAGCAGAATAAAGAAGCCACACTAGGGGCACCTGGGTGGCTCAGCTAGTGAAGTGTCTGACTCTCGATTTTGACTCTGGTCATGATCTCAGGGTCCTGGGATCAAGCCCCTTGTGGGCCTCCCCACTCAGCATGGAGTCTGCTTGAGATTCTTTCTCCCTCTCCCTTTGCCCCAGCCCTACTCTCATGTGCCTGCATTCTTTCTCTCAATAAATAAATACATTAAAATCTTTTAAAAATGATGCCAGGGGATCGCTGAGGTACCAGGACAAAAATGAGGGAAAGAGGAAGGAAGGGAATAGAAAGTGTTCAGGACATTGGTAATTGTACTTCATCAAAGTGGAACCCATAAGAACTCTGCTTCCAGGAGTTGATTTTTCTGCTCATTATGGAATATCTAGAACTAAGACTATGTGGAGTGGTAACATCAGATCACACACACAGCAGTGTCCTTAAAGGTCTTTGAAGGTAAGACCTGGGAGTAAGGTCTGCTTCTGCTTTATAGAGTTGGGCTGTTTTGATTTTTATTTGTTTCTGGTTTGTAGTCCTTAGTGGCTTAGAGACACAGTACAGCTGTTGGGAATGCATCCTTGGACCTGCTGGGTGTCCGGTTGCTAGGGTAGGGCTTGTCACCAAGACCACTGCCTGGGTCAGGATCAGAGGTTTGTCTCCAGAGATCAAGAAGACTTTGAAAGAATTTGAAAGAATTCATCAACTAATTTTTAATTGATGAAATTTCTATGAGCATAATTGCCCCTGCAGGAATATACAGTAATTTATTGGGTCCTGTTTATTTCAGCTTCATGTTCATGACCGGAAAGAAAACCTAGAGGGTTGGGATGCCTGGGTGGCTCAGTTGGTTAAGCAGCTGCCTTCAGCTCAGGTCATGATCCCAGCGTCCTGGGATCGAGTCCCGCATCGGGCTCCTTGCTCCGCAGGGAGTTTGCTTCTCCCTCTGCCGCTCTGTCTGCCTGTGCTCACTCTCTCTCTCTCTCTGACAAATAAATAAATAAAATCTTTAAAAAAGAAAGAAAGAAAGAAGGAAGGAAAGAAAGAAAGAAAGAAAACCTAGAGGGCTTCATGAAGACTTCCATCAAGTGCCCACCTGCCAGTGGTAATCCTGGTGTATTTGCTGTGAGTTGTGAGGTGGTATATCAATGTTTTCTCTCTTACCCTTCTTGGAGTAATTATAAGGAAATTATGGTGTCGCACCCTTTGTAGTATGAGAGTACTTCACTGGGCTTTATCCCCATCCCACATCGCTCTGCAGTGTAGTTCATGTATTTTCAGAAACAACAGAAGCTGCAGAGAATCAGGCCACTTGGCCACTTTCCTATACTTAGGGATAGAGCCAGGAATTGACCCTTGGTCCTCCTTTGGGCTATTAATTTTTCTTTATATATTACCAATGGTGTTTCTACTCCTCAAATTGCTGAAATTATATGTGTGGAGAATATTATAAATAGTGCTGTTATCCCCAGAATCAACATAAAAACTTGAATAAATTTTTCAGAAACTATTGTTTATAGAGACAGTAAAATATTTGTAGGGACTTTTATTCATATGAGAATCAATACGAAAAAGTAGGGAACAAACAGAACTTGGAATCCTATGACCTTGGAACCTCCACCCCTCCCCCACGGTCACCCCCGAGCAAGAGTCTCAGATGCTCTAACCTGTGAAGTATGGGGTTAATCATCACTCCATGGTTACTGTGAGAATCAGATATACTAAAATGGGGGAAAGTACATTGGATGTGTCAAACATCATGTGAACAGTTGTCTCTCCCAAAACATAAAATTTTTATTCCCTGTAGTATATTTAGAGAGCAGATTTGTAGAGTTTAATTATGATAAATATATAAGGCATTGTTCAGTTTGAAGTGTGAGTCTTTAACTAAAAACAATTGAGGCTGCTTCGGGCTTTGAAATCCAGTATCCTTACTATGCTGTCTTCTACAATGCCATGTTTATACATTTATTGTAAAGATTTTCTTTTTTTCATTGAGTAAGATCTTTAACTGCATTATCCAATATGGTAACACTCAGTTCCTCAGTCACACTGGCCATATTTCATTTTGTTAGAGAGAGAGAGAGAGAGGGAGCACACATGTAAGCGGGGGAGGGGCAAATGGGGGGAGGGAGAATTTTTTTTTAAGATTTTATTTATTTATTTGAAAGAGATCATGAGCAGGGGGAGGGGGAGGGAGAGAAGCAGGCTTCCCACTGAGCAGGGAGCCCAATGCAAGGTTGGCTCCCAGGACCCTGGGATCATAATCTGAATTAAACGCAAACCCTTAACCAAGTGAGCCACCCAGGAGCCCTGGGATGGAGAATCCCAAGCAGGCTCCATGCCCAGTACAGAGTCCAGTGCAGATCTTGGTCTCAAGACCCTTAGATCATGACCTGAGCTGAAATCAAGAGTCCTATGTTTAACTGACTGAGCCACCCAGGCACCCCTCAGACCTGTGGCTACTGGCTGCCATATTAAACAGCATAGAAATAAAACATTTGTCATCATGGAATGTTCTACCGGATAGCACTGATTCTAATAAAAATAATCATAACAACTAAGCCAAGAAAATGGAATTATTTTATTAGCAGAAATACTACTAACATTAAAGAAAAAAATAAAAATTTGGAATATCTTTTGTAAGACTGTCAGACTGGCTTTTGTTAGAAATCCAAATAATACTAAACTGTCTATTCTAGTCAGAAATATTCCTTTGTGATATCTCAGATGTTAAAATGTTTACTCAATATGCTATGTAAGTTTAATATGTCCCCCTTTATAGTGTTGTACAGCCAAAGGTTTGGAACTTAAGTGACAGTGGTTGATCCTAGCCTCCAGGTGGTCTATGATACATTTGTGAAACCAGATGAAGAAGTCATTGACTATAACACCAGGTATATAAAAGGGTTGACTTTGAGAATGTAGAATATTCAACATGTAGTTTAGGTGAGTTTTAGCTTAATACTTTTATTGAGTCAATGTTACAGCAGGAGTTACACTATTTTCCTTTAGTTCATTCATTTGTTCAAAAACATTCATATTTTATGGAGTACCTTGCTAAAATTATGCAGACAGACACTGTGTTAGACCCCATGTTACAACCCTAAATAACAGGTTTTCAGCCATTATGGTCTTGACATGTGGAAGTGCTAGGTAGGAGCTAGAGACGTAAAAACACTGAATAAATTATTTTATTCATTGTTCCATCATTAATCAGTTCCTTTTGAAAATGCCCTATTTGCCATTTCTATTCAGTAAAAATTCCCATTGGATAAAAATTTCTGCAATCTTGTAGACATGTCCCTGAGTATACATAGCTTTGATATGGCATGCAAAGTAATGGTTCAGTGCAGATTCTATTCTGTGAATCATTATTATTAAAATAAAATGTATTTCTGACCCAAACTCAGTGCTAACTTGAAGTGGTACAATATAGATGTGACTTTAATTTTTTAAAACCTCATATGAAACACCAGTGATATCACTGATCAGTTGAATTTGGGTTTCCTAAAGGTTTATAAGCCATATAACATGACCTATTTATATATTTCCTCAAATATAAAATGGCAAGGATCTAAATTTTCACTTTAGAATAAGAAGTGTTTATTATTGATATTACTGTATTTATTCAATTTAATACATTCTCCAAAAGTACTTAAAATTACTCAATTATGTGTGTGTGTGTATATATATATATATGATTTGTTTATATATACAAACAAATATGACTTGTATATACACATACACATATATAGTATATATAATAATGTATATAGTATACATAATATAGTATAGTATATATACTATCTTACATAATATTGTATATAAAGTATATATCATATAATATATAATGTATATATGCCCATAATTTTGGAACACAACAAAGCAAAGTGGCCATGTAAATTAAAAGTTGTTTTGATGATAAATATTGAGAATATGTATAGAGAATTCTAATAAGCATTTTTAAACCTAAATTCCCTCACAGTTCATAAAAATGGTTATATGCATAAATCTTAGTAAAGATTGCTATGATCAGAAAATACTAATATTTGTATACTAATCTTTCTCCTGATCTCTTTGGATTTTTTTTTTCCTACTCATTTTTGCCACATTTAAATAGTTGTATGGATTTAACTCTATTTTTTTTCCAGCTTTATTGGGGTATACTGACAAACAAAATTGTAATATACTTAACGTTACTATACTTCCAATGGTACTTATACTTTAATGGTTTTTTTTTTAATTTTTAATTTTTAATTTTTTATAAACATATATTTTTATCCCCAGGGGTACAGGTCTGTGAATCGCCAGGTTTACACACGTCACAGCACTCACCATAGCACATACCCTCCCCAATGTCCATAACCCCACACGCCCTCCCAACCCCCCTCCCCCCAGAAACCCTCAGTTTGTTTTGTGAGATTAAGAGTCACTTATGGTTTGTCTCCCTCCCAATCCCACCTTGTTTCATTAAATCTTCTCCTACCCCCTTAACCCCCCATGTTGCATCTCCACTCCCTCATATCAGGGAGATCATATGGTAGTTGTCTTTCTCCGATTGACTTATTTCGCTAAGCATGATACCCTCTAGTTCCATCCACGTCATTGCAAATGGCAAGATTTCATTTCTTTTGATGGCTGAATAGTATTCCATTGTGTATATATACCACATATTCTTTATCCATTCATCTGTTGATGGACATCTAGGTTCTTTCCATAGTTTGTCTATTGTAGACATTGCTGCTATAAACATTTGGGTGCACGTGCCCTTTCGGATCGCTACATTTGTATCTTTAGGGTAAATACCCAGTAGTGCAATTGCTGGGTCATAGGGTAGCTCTATTTTCAACATTTTGAGGAACCTCCATGCTGTTTTCCAGAGTGGTTGTACCAGCTTGCATTCCCACCAACAGTGTAGGAGGGTTCCCCTTTCTCCGCATCCTCGCCAGCATCTGTCATTTCCTGACTTGTTAATTTTAGCCATTCTGACTGGTGTGAGGTGATATCTCATTGTGGTTTTGATTTGTATTTCCCTGATGCCGAGTGATATGGAGTACTTTTTCATGTGTCTGTTGGCCATCTGGATGTCTTCTTTGCAGAAATGTCTGTTCATGTCTTCTGCCCATTTCTTGATTGGATTATTTGTTCTTTGGGTGTTGAGTTTGCTAAGTTCTTTATAGATTTTGGACACTAGCCCTTTATCTGATATGTCGTTTGCAAATATCTTCTCCCGTTCTGTCAGTTGTCTTTTGGTTTTGTTAACTGTTTCCTTTGCTGTGCAAAAGCTTTTGATCTTGATGAAATCCCAATAGTTCATTTTTGCCCTTGCTTCCCTTGCCTTTGGCGATGTTCCTAGGAAGATGTTGCTGCGGCTGAGGTCGAAGAGGTTGCTGCCTGTGTTCTCCTCAAGGATTTTGATGGATTCCTTTCTCACACTGAGGTCCTTCATCCATTTTGAGTCTATTTTCGTGTGTGGTGTAAGGAAATGGTCCAATTTCATTTTTCTGCATGTGGCTGTCCAATTTTCCCAACACCATTTATTGAAGAGGCTGTCTTTTATCCATTGGACATTCTTTCCTGCTTTGTCAAAGATTAGTTGACCATAGAGTTGAGGGTCTATTTCTGGGCTCTCTATTCTGTTCCATTGATCTATGTGTCTGTTTTTGTGCCAGTACCATGCTGTCTTGATGATGACAGCTTTGTAATAGAGCTTGAAGTCCGGAATTGTGATGCCACCAACCTTGGCTTTCTTTTTCAATATTCCTTTGGCTATTCGAGGTCTTTTCTGGTTCCATATAAATTTTAGCATTATTTGTTCCATTTCTTTGAAAAAAATGGATGGTATTTTGATAGGAATTGCATTAAATGTGTAGATTGCTTTAGGTAGCATAGACATTTTCACAATATTTATTCTTCCAATCCAGGAGCATGGAACATTTTTCCATTTCTTTGTGTCTTCCTCAATTTCTTTCATGAGTACTTTATAGTTTTCTGTGTATAGATTCTTAGTCTCTTTGGTTAGGTTTATTCCTAGGTATCTTATAGTTTTGGGTGCAATTGTAAATGGGATGGACTCCTTAATTTCTCTTTCTTCTGTCTTCTTGTTGGTGTAGAGAAATGCAACTGACTTCTGTGCATTGATTTTATATCCTGACACTTTACTGAATTCCTGGACAAGTTCTAGCAGTTTTGGAGTGGAGTCTTTTGGGTTTTCCACATATAGTATCCTATCATCTGTGAAGAGTGATAGTTTGACTTCTTCTTTGCCGATTTGGATGCCTTTAATTTCCTTTTGTTGTCTGATTGCTGAGGCTAGGACTTCTAGTACTATGTTGAATAGCAATGGTGATAATGGACATCCCTGCCGTGTTCCTGACCTTAGCAGAAAAGCTTTCAGTTTTTCTCCATTGAGAATGATATTTGCGGTGGGTTTTTCATAGATGGCTTTGATAATATTGAGGTATGTGCCCTCTATCCCTACACTGAAGAGTTTTGATCAGGAAGGGATGCTGTACTTTGTCAAATGCTTTTTCAGCATCTATTGAGAGTATCATATGGTTCTTGTTCTTTCTTTAATTAATGTGTTGTATCACATTGATTGATTTGCGGATGTTGAACCAACCTTGCAGCCCTGGAATAAATCCCACTTGGTCATGGTGAATAATCCTTTTAATGTACTGTTGAATCCTATTGGCTAGTATTTTGGTGAGAATTTTTGCATCTGTGTTCATCAGAGATATTGGTCTGTAGTTCTCTTTTTTAATGGGATCCTTGTCTGGCTTGGGGATCAAGGTGAGGCTGGCCTCATAAAATGAGTTTGGAAGTTTTCCTTCCATTTCTATTTTTTGGAACAGTCTCAGGAGAATAGGAATTAGTTCTTCTTTAAATGTTTGGTAGAATTCCCCCGGGAAGCCATCTGGCCCTGGGCTTTTGTTTGTTTGGAGATTTTTGATGACTGTTTCAATCTCCTTACTGGTTATGGGTCTGTTCAGGCTTTCTATTTCTTCCTGGTTCAGTTGTGGCAGTTTATATGTCTCTAGGAATGCATCCATTTCTTCCAGATTGTCAAATTTGTTGGCATAGAGTTGCTCATAATATGTTCTTATAATTGTCTGTATTTCTTTGGTGTTAGTTGTGATCTCTCCTCTTTGATTCATGATTTTATTTATTTGGGTCCTTTCTCTTTTCTTTTTGATAAGTCTAGCCAGTGGCTTATCAATCTTATTAATTCTTTCAAAGAACCATCTCCTAGTTTCGTTGATTTGTTCTATTGTTTTTTTTGGTTTCTATTTCATTGATTTCTGCTCTGATCTTTATGATTTCTCTTCTCCTGCTGGGTTTAGGGTTTCTTTCTTGTTCTTTCTCCAGCTCCTTTAGGTGTAGGGTTAGGTTGTGTACCTGAGACCTTTCTTGTTTCTTGAGAAAGGCTTGTACCGCTATATATTTTCCTCTCAGGACTGCCTTTGTTGTGTCCCACAGATTTTGAACCGTTGTGTTTTCATTTTCATTTGTTTCCATGAATTTTTTCAATTCTTCTCTAATTTCCTGGTTGACCCATTCATTCTTTAGAAGGATGCTGTTTAGTCTCCATGTATTTGGGTTCTTTCCAAATTTCCTCTTGTGCTTGAGTTCTAGCTTCAGAGCATTGTGGTCTGAAAATATGCAGGGAATGATTCCAATCTTTTGATACTGGTTGAGAGCTGATTTAGGACTGAGGATGTGATCTATTCTGGAGAATGTTCCATGTGCACTAGAGAAGAATGTGTATTCTGTTGCTTTGGGATGAAATGTTCTGAATATATCTGTGATGTCCATCTGGTCCAGTGTGTCATTTAAGGCCTTTATTTCCTTGTTGATCTTTTGCTTGGATGATCTGTCCATTTCAGTGAGGGGA